CTTTTTTTAATCTATGTTCCACAGAGGCGCCGCGGTGGAGGAGGAATATCTCCGCCAACAGGGGTTCCTTCACGCGTTGTCGTGATAATTTAAGTCCCTGCGGAGGATTTTTGTGAGGAGAAGATTGGTTCGAGTTTCTAACACTAATCTATGCTGAGAGGTGGTTTCGTTGTGGAAGAAAATGGAAATAATGCTCGTTGAGAGTTCAAAAATCGACGAATTCCGTTACCACAAGGATGTCATGATTTTATGGTGAGAAGAAAATGGCATTTCTCGTCATGATGATAGTCATTTATGTAATTTGTAACTTTCTGTGAGAAATGAGCAGATTTCTACAACGTGGAGAAGATGAAATTTACGCTGTTGGCCTACCAGAATGTTGTTCTTTTTCTTTCTCGCCAAAGCCTTATGCGCTGTTCATTTTTTCATGTGGTTCCATAAAGTATTATCTGTAAAACTGCATTATGGCTGCGCCCTTCTCTTTTCTGTTCTACAATTTGCTTCATTTCGGCGCCTTCCTAAATAACATTTCCATCTTCAAGGCTATACTGATCCTAGTTCAAACGTTACATTTCCGGGATGAATGTTTTTCCCCAACTTTTCGGCTCGACCGTATTCTCAAGGTCCTCGACTGCAACTTTCCTTCATGATTCTCTATGATTTTTTTCCTTCCTCACAACAAACCAGTTTAATCTTTGAAGTGTTAGTGCTCTATGTTTCTAAACGAATGGCGATGTTTGATCGTTTGCACGAAAATTGTATTCTTCGGAACAGCTCCGAAGTGCTTTCATCTCTTCCACATACATGTGAAATAACATTCATTACAATTCACGAGCACAATACAATTCCCGACCTGTCGGCAAATAAAACAATGACATTTAAAAGTATACATATTGCCTTTCATATCCATACAATACCCTATGTATTTACAATTTTTTGCACTTTCAAATTCAACATTCCGTAAGAGAATCAGAAAAAATTAGACAGAGCAATGCGCATTTTAAAAAAAGTAAAAAATAACACCAATCGATGAAATGAAGAGTGAATCGTGCGTTAAGGCGAACATTGAGCAGACAACGCAAAATATGTTCAAATAAATTAGTGCTAAAAGGCATACAGGATATAAAAATTCCTCGAATATTTAGACTGTCGCGACAGGAAACGATCCACTTCAGCAACATTTCAATAAGCGCATAAAAATTACAACTCATGAAATCTTAAATTCGAATTTCTTTATGGAAAAATGATCATGTAAAAACTTCATTATGATAAGCCAACTGTATTCCTCTAATAACAATAAGCAACTGTATTCCTTTTTACCGTTGATGGTGAGCGAAGCAAAATTTAGAGATCACTACAGTGAGACTCAAAAAAANTTAACTGCCTTCCACCAATATTTGATTTGAAGTTGTCGAAATAGTGAAGTCGACGTCTTGCAACATTATCTTTTCTCCACGCTTTGTCGATCAGTGCCAAATATGGAACATAGTCACAAGCAAGCTCTGAAATTCACATCGCAATAACACTTAAAATATTCATATTGCAGCATAAGAGAGGCATACAAAAATGATATACCACAAACGATTGCAGTTGTAAGATGAATAAACTTATGCAAGAAATGAAACAAACCATCAAGTGAACGATATTCACAACCAAACAGGAATCTGCGTGTATCCGAAATGCTAGCATGAATTGGAGTAATCGCCTCAGCAACAATAGATGGATATTCTTCCGATAGTAAGCGATTGGGCTCATTCCATTCTCTGCAAAATAACGTTGAATATTGTAACAAATATCGTCGTAAGTTATTTCACTCACTCTTCATCAAGTCAAATCAACGAGGATGAAAGCAAATTACAGTCGCGCATCAAAGCAGAAAATAATCTAAAGTCATCCCATCAACTCCCAAAATATTCTCAATTAATCACAAAATTAAGTCCGAACAATGGTAATTGAAAAAGATTTATGAAGGGAAACCATACTGAAAGCATTTTCGGTAGTTAAGAGATATAACTACAATATGTGACATTCTCGATGGGATTAGACACATTCAAATAGGCGAATGAATCCACACATCCTCACTGAACCTTGTGTTGAATATTGTTTAAAGCGTTCAGCTGATTACATAAAACGTAACAATGCCAAACTTAAGGATGTTGTCC